AACAATATCATGCGCCTCAAGTTCTTCATCAAGCTCTCGACTAGAGAATTTTTCTTCTTTCACCATTTTCTCTAGAACATCAAGTCTAAAACAATCGCCTTTGTCAGAAGATTGTTTCATAGAGTCAAAGACGTTGATGGTAATAGTCTCATCATTCATCCTTAACTCAAGCTTTCCGTTTTCAACATCAATCATGGCTTGAGCAGTAGCCAAGAAAGGTCTACCCAGCAAAAGAGGCATTTCAGTTCCCTCTTCCATGTCCAATACCACAAAATCTGCTGGAAAGATGAACTTGTCCATTTTAACAAGAACATCTTCAACAATACCACTCGGCCTCCTCAAAGATCTATCAGCAAGTTGAAGAAAGACCACAGTGGGCTTCAATTCAGTAATTCCTAGAGATTTACAAACAGATAATGACATCAGATTTATACTTGCCCCAAGATCACACAAGGCTTTGCCGACATTAGTGTTACCAATAGCAATTGGAATGTTGAAGCTCCCTGGATCACGAAGCTTGGGAGAAAACTTCTTCTGTATTATAGCACTACACTCCTCAGTGAGTGTTACTGTCTGACATTCCTGCAACTTGTGCTTTCTTGATAAGAGGTCCTTCATAAACTTGGCATAATTGGGCATATTAGCCAAGGCTTCAACGAATGGAATATTAATGTAAAGCTTTTTGAATATATCAAGGAACCTGGCGTATTGCTGCTTATGGGTATCTTGCTTGAATCTTTCAGGATAAGGTGCCATAGCTCTCAAATAACCAAGACTCAGCTCAAATTTCTTCTTTTCAGCAACAATCGGTTGCTCTTTTTCTTCACCTTTCTGAAGAGGCTTCACAACCTTAGAATGAATTTCAACTTCTTTTTCTGGCTTCTTAACTTCATAAGCTTCTCATCACCTCCCATATTTATGTTCGGCTTTTCTGGAGATACCACCACTTTACCACTTCTAGTTGTGATAGCCATACATTCTTCCCTTGGATTAGTAATTGTGTTACTAGGAAATGTACCAGGAGTTTATCAGCAATTTGTTTAGCTAGTTGGCCAATTTGATTCTCCAAATTTCTGATAGATGCATTTGTGTTCTTGGTATTAGCTCTAGTCTCATCCATGAAGGCATTAGAATATTGAGCCATTTGTCCTACTAGCTTCTCCAAATCAGAAAGTTCCTTGGGTTGGATTGGTGGAGGCTGCAAATAGTTGTTAGATTTGAAATCAAGATCAGTTCCCTGAATCCTCCTTTGGAAATTACTATCTCCACCAGAAAAATTCTGACTTCTTTGAATATTTTGCTGAGGAGGTCTTTGATTATACCAAATGTCATTCACCTGCATTTGTTGAGGGGAATCAGAAGCCAGCAAAGAAGTACATTCATTAGACTCATGATTGTCCTGGCAATATTCACACACAACAGCAATAGCTTGAGCCTGAACACCAGAAAACTGCATTTTATCAAACCTTGAAGTCAAATTTGCTATTTGCTGAGATAATAACTTATTTTTAGCCAGCACAACATCATTACCTTCCAGCTGAAGGATACCTCTCTTAGGCTTAGATGACAAACCTTCATTTTCATTAGCAGTTATTCTTTCAATCAGCTTAAGAGTCTCATTTTCTCTCAAGGATTTAATAGTACCACCTGCTGCACCATTCAACACCATCCGAACTTCAGGTTTACAACCGTTGAAGAAGATTCTCACCTGATTACCAGCAGTCAAGTTATAATGAGGACACCTCCTCATTAAATCCTTGAATCTGTTCCATGCTGCACACATAGTTTCACCCTTTAATTGAGTGAAATTGGTGATATCATTCACCATCTGATTGTATCTCTCCATTTAAAAGAACTCAGCAAAGAACTTTTGAGACAAATCATCCCATGTAGGAATGCTTCGTGCAGGCTGCCTTTCCAACCAATTAAGAGATTTTCCCTTAACAGCAAAAGGGAACAACCTCAACCGAATTGCATCACTGGACACCTGAGGATGTTTGGTTGAGTCACAGATCATCAGGAATCTGTCTATGAATCTATGAGGATCTTCATTCTCCTCTCCTCCAAACTGAGCTCTCTCCACCAATTGAATATTGGAAGACTTAAGCTGCCAATTATTGTTACCAATATCAGGTTGAACAATGCTTGAGTTAGGCATGTTAAAAGATGGAGTACGAATAGTATCCATGAGTGGATTTTCTTCATCATTATTTGCTACCATGATTGGTGATTTAACTGGTATCTCCTGTGTCTCTTCAGATAGAGTACCAAACTCTTTGAATTCGAGCTTTTTCTGAGCGAGTTTTCTATTCCTCCTTTCGGTCTTTGTAATCTCAGGATCAAACAGAAATTCTGCAGTTTTACTTCGCATACAACTCAGGAAAACGATTAGTAGCACTTTTCAAAAAAAAAAAAACATAAACATAAAAATATTCACAATATCCAATCTTAAAGATCAAGATTATATGATAAAAGAAACGCCAATCCCTAGCAACGACGCCAAATACTTGATGTTCACCGGCAAATGTACCGATCGCACAAGTAATATAATGATAAGAAAGTATCGTCTCCACAGGGGTTGTGATCGAATATCAAATAATCGTCCTTTTAAGATGGAAGGAATTCAAATAGGTATGAAAAATATTGTTGAATTGATTAAAGATAAGAACTAAAAACAAAAATGTATTTTTAGGGATTTTGTGATGAAAAATAAAAAATAGAGATTGATTTGTAAAAATATGAGAAAGCATTGTAGCTAGAGTACACTCACCATATGATCCCACCTTTTACTTTGGATTGATTTAAAATACTCATTTAAATAAATACTCAGATAATTTATCATCTAAAAATTATTAAATAGTTAACCTTCAATCCCTTGCAAGGTTAACCCTTTAACCCCAATTAAAACCCCAATTCCTTGCGATGTTTCTCATGAAATTAAGTAATGAGCACGATAAATTAAACATCTGCAATGTTATATACGTCTATTCCTAGCACGCATACAAATTGTTATCCTACTCTCTTTCAAGATCAAAAACCCCAATATTCCTATCTAGGGTTCTTACCCTCAAACTATCATCAACTATTAGATTGATCAATTCTAATAAAGAAGATAGAAATTACGCACAAAGTAGAGATAAATATAAATATATAAAAGAGTAATTATAAACCAATCCGTTGTAACAAGGGTGCACATAAGGTTTGTGACCCTAACTACAATAAAAAGTACTAGCCAACCATGGTCATGGCTGACATAAAATTATAAAAGATAAAGATGAAGAATGTAATTACAAAAAGAAGACTAGGAACAATCCTCTGTTCCTTTCCTTCTTCTGAAATCCTTGTTTTCTTTCTCTCTGCCGTCGAAAAGTAGTTTCAAATGTCCTCACAGCGTTGCTTTTATAATCCTCATTCGCTACTTCCAAAATTTCCCTTCAGAAGCACAGTGATATTATTTCCCGCAAAGTGGCGCTGGATCGCGCCACTGTGGTGCAAGATCGCGCCAAAATTCTGGAAAATGACCCAGAGAAGTGGCGCTGGATCGCGCTGCTTTTCTGGAAAATGGCCCAGGGCAACTGGAGCGGCTTAGCAGCACCCCTCGTGCGGATTCACACCACCAAGCTTTTAAACTTTCGTGTTCTCCTTCTTTCTCCCTATATAAACATAACAATTAGGTGAGAAATGTCATTGAAATAGAAAAGTCAATATAATAAGCAAATATGTATATAAAGTGCTTTTTTATGACTTAATTCTCATCATTTTCAGCTTGGAAAACTACATCTTCCAGAGGCACATCAGTTACATAAAGATCCACTTCACTGTTTTCCAGTATTTTTTGTCAGGATTTGACAAAAATCGGGTTACCAATCCTACAACTTACACCAAGTAATATCTTGTACATACCATTGCATACATCAAACTTCCTACCTCAAACTAGTACTGGATCCTCAACATCTCATCTTTCTCTTTGTCAGAGCTCAGGCATTTGCTTCTAGCTTAGCATTATTGGTCCGACTAAGGGGGTAATAACCATCTTCGCATTGTCCATATTGAATTTTTTCAAGATCTTATCAATGTATTTTTCTTGAGTTAGCCACAATAGCTTCTTTTGACGATATCTTATTATCTTGTTTACAAATGATTTGTTTTGCAGGGCTGAGGTCCTTCATCTTGAAGGACGTGCTCAATGCCTTCTTCACGGCGGCTATCTTCATTTTATTTTTCCCTACAATTAGTATATTGTCAACATATAAACACAAAATCAAAAAGTTTCCAGCCTCTACCTCTTAATGAATACGCTATGATCGGCCTCTGTTTTCATGAACTTGTGTTGTGTCATGAAGGAGTCAAATTTCTTGTATCACTGCCAATGTGTTTGCTTTAAGTCGTAAAGGCTCGTCTTCAAACGACAGGTCAAATTTTCTTTGCCTTGAACCCGAAACACTTTATTTTGCTCCATGAAGATCTTTTCTTTAATGTTGTTGTGAAGGAATATTTTTTTCACGCCCATCTACTCCATTTCAATATTCATCGAGGCTATCATCCATAGTACAGTGCGAACAGATGTCAAAATCAATTTCCTTCATTTGATGATAACCTTTCACCATAATTCTAAATTTATATATTGGCCTTCAGCTGTTTTCTTCAAGCTTGATCTAGTACACCCATGTGTTCTTTAGAGCTTGTCTTTCTTTGGGCAGTTCAGTCAAATCATAAGTATGATTTCTATGCAGTGACTGCATCTCGTCCTATATTACCTTTTCTCATTCTTTCTTCTTAGAGCTTGTCATAGCCTCTTAATAACTCTAAGGTTCCAACTGCAGCAGCTACAATGTACTTATTTGGTGGATATTTTGTGGAAGGTCGTCTCACTCGTGTAGAATCTCTAGTTTGAGGTTTTGGTTAAGACTGCTCATCATTATCATCTCGAACCTCTGGACAACCTACATGACCTCCTCTTTCTTGATTCTTCTTGTTGTTGTTGGATGACTTCATTATTTTGTTGAGTAGTTTCTCCCCCTCCTGCTTCAACAAACATAGGAGGGACAAGTTCCTGGTAAAGAATTACAACTTGGACTTTGGGCTTCTTTATATCTTCGATATTTTTGTCTTCATGGAAGACTACATCCCGACTTCTCATAACCTTACAGTTAATGGTGTCCCAAAGTCTGAACCCAAATTCACGTCTCAAGGATCCGAGGTATATATATTCCTTAGTTTTATCGTCCAACTTAGCTTTTTTATCCTTTGGAATGTGACCACAGGCTCTACAACCAAAGACCTCAAGGTGCTCATACAAGGCTTTCCAATAGCCTCGATGGTGATAAGTTGATCAGATCGACGATGGTTCTAACAGCCTCATCTTAGAAAGATTTTGGCAATCTAGCATGAGATAACATGCTTCTATCTCTTTCTTTAATTGTTTTGTTCATTCTCTTAGCTACTCCATTCAACTATGGAGTCTTAGGGGCGTCTTCTTCAGCCTTATTCATGCCGACCTGTAGTACGCTTCAAAGGGGTCTAGGTATTCACCGCCAATATCAGCTCGGACCACTTTAGCTTCTTACCAATTTCCCTTTCCACCATGGCATCGAACTCCTTGAATGAGTTCATCAAGTTGAGAACACTAGCTTGACACTTGGAGTTCAGCTTATCAATAATTTGACCCAATATGCAATAACACAGAAAATACAAAGAGTGGGAGATGAAGAGATAGAAAGAACACAACTATGTTAACGTGTAAAACCTCTCCTAAC